CATGGCAATCCATACCAATTAAAGTAAAGGAAGATTTGGAGAGTCACGAACGCCTCCATTCTTGAACGACATGGCATTTATGAAAAGAAATTAAAGTCAGTGAATAATTTTATATTTTCATCGATCTTTTCATCATGTTTTTTATTTACCAATCAGAAGAATAAATAAATTCTATGAAATGTAAACAGTAATGTCTCCAATAGTTAAGTTATCTCCCTTGTTTTTTTGTTTTGTTTTTGTTTGTTTTGGTTTTTCTTTTTTGTTGTTTTTTTGTTTTTTTACAAGTAACAAACCAGTTTTAGAGGAAACGCTGGTGGAAAGTGAAGTGCTGATTAATTCCCTGCTTTAGTTCGTTCGATTGTCATTCAACCTAATAAACGCTCCTAAAACTGACAACTTAGAAAAGATCTTGTGTTGATGAAATTAGTTAAAGGTTAGCCAGTCGCCATTAATACACGCCAAAGGATAAAAATGTGACCCAAGCACTTGGAGTCGAATTGACCTCCATTGTTAAAACGACATTAAATCGGTTGCTTACAGATGATGTAAGTGGCGGGTGGGCGAAGAAAGAGACGGGGTGAAATTTCTGTGTGGGGGGAATACACTTTAATTCAATATTCATTAGGGTTTTATTCACTTCTTTGCCTTTGTATTTTTAACACATGTGTCCCGTGATATTTTGGGCAACCACGTATATTTTCATGCGTGATGAGCTCCAATATCAACGCTTAGAATTCAAGCTTTTAACTTGGCTTGAAATAATAGCTCTCTCTCTCTCTCTCTCTCTCTCTCTCTCTCTCTCTCTCCGTGTGTGTGTGTGTGTGTGTGTGTGATCTCTTTAGGACGCAGACGATCATGGTTCTCCACGATTTCCTGTAGGCTTCTGTTGTCTCTGGTGTACGCCTTCTTCCGTGTTCCGAGTAATTGTTTTCAACAGAGCAGAGAGTTCGAGGCTGATTGTCATGTGATTGCAAGTTGGGAAATTAATCATTCCAAATCATTCCCCATTTTCTCGCTGTTCGCTTCCGTTGTACACGTTGCACGCGCGTCCTGTTTTATTTTCAATTACCACCTTAATGATTTTACTTTATATTTATATATATATATATATATATATATATATATATATATATATATATATATGCAAGTTTCATTAAATATGACAGACATTGTGCTTTGATTAATTTTTTTATATAACTTGAGAAATTGAGAATTTGAGCCACATTTTATCCCTACCCATCGGCCATGTACGAAGAAGATCTGATCAGCCAGCGGGCAAGAGCTTTCCCGCTCAGCGATGGACTCATCTCGGCACCACAGGAGTTCTCTTTAGGCTTTTCCGTGCACACATGTGATCTTATTTTTATTTTTTTTCATTTTCAGTAGATAGATTATATACAAACTGTCCAAATGTTGCTTTTTTCCGAGCGCTTTCAGTTATGCATTTAGCCATTTTCACAGGTTGAAATATATTAACTGTTAACAAGAAATAGATTGTTGTATATATGTATTTATATAATGTTTCATTTTCAAAATAAGGTCAAGATATTGTTCCCATGTTCATAGTTGATATTATTGAGTCTTGTTTTTGTTTGTTTTTTTATTAATAAGGCTTCCATTATTTTTAGCCTTTTTTTTTTTACATGTAGACGATGCTATTATATTTGTGTTATCAACAAGTATGTTACGAATAGGGTCCAGTAGGTCTCCATGAGTATTTAAGTGAAATCTAACTGAGCTATGGTCAAAAAGATGTAGTGTGAGTTTTCTTGTCAAACATGTTGTAGTGTGGCCGATATAATTGTTTACGAATTTTGATTGATCAGGAATATAATTCCTTAATCGACATTTAAATTCTTAAATAATATTTGTTCTAGGACACGTGGCATAGTGGATAAAGGCGTTAGTTAGATGGAGTGACAGGACCCAAAGAGTGTGAGTTCAATCCCCGGTTAAGGCAGTGGAGAACTTTCAGAGTGTCATACCTGAACGTACCTATTCTATTATTAATAGACTCTCCCACACATAATAAGTAGTAGTAGTAGTAGCGGTCGCCAGTTGGGCTCAGTGGTGCTGAGTGAGTCAGTCGATGTCGGACATTGAAGTATCAACCATCACAACTAAATTGCTGCGTCATTAACTCTTATTTCAAGTTCCTAACGTTTTGTACGTCGAACCTAATTTAGGACGACTTATTGAAATACAAACCTCCACTGTGAAAACTACTCTACAACACAGAGGGAAATTAACAGGGGATAACTGGCATCCATTAAACATGGCACGTGGAACTAGAGCAGTCTACCCCAATGAGCGAAATAAAGGGTTCAGTTCGACATTCCAGTCACCTGAAGAAGGCCGGAAACGTTGTAATAAATATGGCGACAAAGATGAAGACAATAGTCCGAATAATGTAAATAATGCTCTTTAAATTTATATACGATTTCTTTAACCATTCTTAAGGGTAAAAGTTTTCTTGTTAGCCTCCATCGTTTATAAATATAGCAAATGCATTTTCTTTGTGCTTTTTTGCAAGGCGTTTCTTTGCTTCGACGAGTGAGACTTTAGTATTCGTCTTTAAAGGAAAGGAATTGTTTATTACTTGTTTTTGTTTCTTCCTTATAGAATACATGTCATTGAATCAAAGAAATTTCTATCTGTTTACCTGAATGTTAGTATTTCTCATGTTATTCAATCATAAGACTATTTCTTTAACAATAATTATGTCTACACAGGCATTTATTTCATGTCTGTGTACACACAGGCAGACGTGGGAAGATTAATTGTTGTGAATATGTATATTAGGAGGAAAGGTTCATCCTTTGTTTCCTGTTTAGGAATGGGTTTCCGGTTCTTTCTAAAAGCTACTTCAACTCGGTACGCCAAACGTCTCCTGCTGAACTCCGAAATTTTATTCACTAATTGTGTATTTTATTTTTTCTCTTTCTCCATTAGGAGTAGATAGGTTCGCCTATCGTCCGGTTTACACTTACTCTCCTCCGGACTTTTGAACAGGAGTAGAGGTTCATCCCTTGTTTCCTGTTTGGGATTGGGTTTCCAGTTCCTTCTAAGGCCTACTTCGACTCTATACTTCTGATGTATATACTCTGAAATGCCTATACTTTGAAATTTTATTCACTAATTATTTTTTCTTCTCCCAATAGGAGCAGATAGGTTCGCCTATCGCCCGGTTTACACCCTCCCCCGGTCTTTTGACTAGGAGTAGAGGATTATCGTTTGTTTCCTGTTTAGGATTGGGTTTCCGGTTCCATCGAAAGTCTACTTCAACGCTATACGCCTAACTCTATACGCCTGAACACTGGAATTTTATTCACTAACTAGCAGTAAACCCCGGCGTTGCCCGGGGATGTAACAGTAAGAGAAAGATCAAGTATCGACCATAATAAAGACTGAAAAATAAAATTGACAAAGATTATTGTTTAAGATTGATGGACACGCATGTCTTAATTAGTTTTTTTTTTTTTTTACAAATTGGTGAAACCCAAACTCAAACTCAAACAAAAACATTGTTTTCAATCGTTATGAGTCTACTGATCGAATAGAATTTTATTATAAACAATTGTCTTGTAAATGGAATTTTTAAAGCATTCTGAATGCAAAAATAAAGAAAAAAGTGTGCAAGACAATAACAAACACTACCTGTCAAAAAAAAGTGGAGTTTTGTTGAAATCGGTTGAAAAATGCAGGAAATCCGATCCCATATATAAACGAACACACACACACACACACAAACAACCTGGGTTTTATAATAAGTATAACTCGATATGTGTTGTCCCCCTTTCATTCTCACGATGCCTCTTAATCGTGTTTTCAAATTGATTTCGTGCAAAAACAATTGTGTTTTTCAATTTTTTGGCGCTGTCAGAACCACCGCAAGGTAATTTTACGTGGTCCTGTGAAGTTTTGTTGAAATCGGTTGAAAAATGTAGGAAATCCGATCCAATATATAAACGTACACACACACACACACACACACAGAACCTGGGTTTTATAATAAGTATGATTGAATCTTGACCTCTTCAAGTATAGGCTTAGCCGTTATTTTTTTCTGAATAGCACCAAGTACTTCACTTCTTGTCCTTTCTTAAGCTCATACAACGCCACACAGAAGCTCTCTACCTTTCGTGGCTCTTGAGGATTGTATTGGGTGAACATTAGTATTAAAATAAAATAACAATCTTTTTAGGCGCCCCAGAAACCCAATGATTTTGTCCTGATTAAAAATAAATTTTTATCTCGAAACATCTTTTTTTTTAATATTTAATCAGTGTTGATCTGGCATTTCTCTTACAGCGATATAATTTTTGTCTCTTTTCTGTCACAGGCCACATTTTATCCCTACCCATCGGCCATGTACGAAGAGGATCTGATCAGCCAGCGGGCAAGAGCTTTCCCGCTCAGCCATGGACTCATGTCGGCGCCACAGGCGTTCTCTTTCGGCTTTTCCGTGCACCCAGCACACGACCCAATGTCTCTCACAGGTAAGGGGGAGCGTTTTCACTTCAAATAATAAAGTAACAACATATTTGTATTAATATCATTCCAGAAAAATTTTCTATATATTTCTCTCACTTTTTTATTATCCATATTATTCTCTCTTTCTCTCACTCACTCACTCACTCACTCACTCTATTTCTCTCTTTCACTCCTTCTTTTTCTATATCTATCTATCTCTGTATTTTTCGTTCACTCTCTTCCTCTCTCTATTTCTCTCTTTCATTCTCTCGCTTTCTCTATTCTCTCTTTCTCGTTATTTCTCTCTTTCTCACACTTTTTCTCTCCATTTCTCGCTCTCTTTCTCTCTATCTGTCTCTCTCTATTTCGCTCTTTCAGTCTCTCTATTTCTCTCTCCCATTCTTTCTATTTCTCTCTCACTCTCCCTATTTTATTCTCACTCTCTCTCTCTCTCAATCTCTCTTTCTCTATCTATTTCTTTCTCATTTTCTTTCTTTCCTTCTCTCCATTTCTCTCTATATATATAATTGGTCATTTATATTTGAGTCTATATTCATTTACTTGGTTCAGGTAAAAAGGTAAAATTTGGTCATTTATATTTGAGTCTATAATCATTTACTTGTTTCAAGGAAAAGCTAAAAATTGTTCCTTTATATTTGAGTCTATATTCATTTACTTGGTTCAGGGAAAAGCTAAAAATTGGTCATTTATATTTGAGTCTATATTCATTTACTTGGTTCAGGTAAAAAGGTACAAATTTGTCATTTACATTTGAGTCTATATTCATTTACTTGGTTCAGGGAAAAGGTAAAATGTGTACATTTATATTGAATCTATATTCATGTACTTGGTTCAAGGAAAAGCTAAAAATTGGTCATTTATATTTGAGTCTATATTCATTTACTTGGTTCAGGGAAAAGGTAAAATTTGGTCATTTATATTTGAGTCTATATTTATTAACGTGGTTCAGGGAAAAGCTAAAAATTTGTCATTTATATTTGAGTCCATATTTATTAACATGGTTCAGGGAAAAGCTAAAAATTTGTCATTTATATTTGAGTCTATATTCATTTACTTGGTTCAGGTAAAAAGGTAAAAATTGGTCATTTATATTTGAGTCTATATTTATTAACGTGGTTCAGGGCAAAGCTAAAAATTTGTCATTTATATTTGAGTCTATATTCATTTACTTGGTTCAGGGAAAAGGTAAAATGTGTACATTTATATTTGAGTCTATATACATGTACTTGGTTCAAGAAAAAGCTAAAAATTGGTCATTTATATTTGAGTCTATATTCATTTACTTGGTTCAGGGGAAAGGTAAAATTTGGTCATTTATATTTGAGTCTATATTTATTAACGTGGTTCAGGGAAAAGCTAAAAATTGGTCATTTATATTTGAGTCCATATTCATTTACATGGTTCAGGGAAAAGCTAAAAATTGCTCATTTATATTTGTGTCTATATTCATTTACTTGGTTCAGAGAAAAGCTAAAAATTGGTCATTTAGATTTGAGTTTATATTCATTTACTTGGTTCAGGGAAAAGGTAAAATTTGTCATTTATATTTGAGTCTATATTTATTAACATGGTTCAGGGAAAAGCTAAAAATTTGTCATTTATATTTGAGTCTATATTCATTTACTTGGTTCAGGTAAAAAGGTAAAAATTTGTCATTTATATTTGACTCTATATTCATTTACTTGGTTCAGGGTAAAGGTAAAATGTGTACATTTATATTGAAACTATATTCATTTACTTGGTTCAAAGAAAAGGTAAAAATTGGTCATTTATATTTGCGTGTATTTATTAACGTGGTTCAGGGAAAAGCTAAACATTGATCATTTATATTTGAGTCTATATTCATTTACTTAGCTCATGAATCGGTAAAAATTGGTCATTTATATTTGAATGTGTAAGCATTTGGTAGGCGGGCCCCTTTTCGTGTGTGCCATTCTCCTGGGCGATGCAGCCACCGTATTCTCGTCCCCACCAACTGGACAGGAACCTGTTAGTTATGAATTTAAAATAAATATTAATTTATTTATGTTTGGCTGGTCAGAAAAATGTTTTTCTTTGCCGTGTAACGAATTTCCCCATTCAAGCAGCAGGTGCTTTTTTATGCCCTTCTCACCTTGAAGTTAAAACCACTTTTTACCATTTTCTTACATCGTTTATTTATCATCTTGGTTTGCATCCAGCAGGTGCTAGCTATTAGTGTTTATCTGACCCTTTATTTGTTGGCTGACTGCCATAAGATGTTCGAACTTGCCTCTGTAGAAACACGAGATTAAAATGTCATTAATTTTAAAAGAGAAATGAGATGTGTGCTTGTGTATAGGAGTGAGTGCGTGTGTGCTTGTGTGTGCCAAAGTTAGTGTGTGAAAGAGAGAGAGAGAGAGATTGTTTGTGTGTGTATGTGTGTGTGCCAGCGATAATGTGATTAAAAGAGAGAGAATGAGAGTGTGTGTGCCAGAGATAGTGTGAGAAAGAAAGACTGTGTGGGAATGAAAGAGAGAAAGAGAGAGAAAATGAAAGAGTGTATACCAGAGATAGTGTGAAGGAGAGAGAGCGTGTGTGAGAGAGACAGAAAATGAGAATGTGTGTACCAGAGATAATTTGAATGAAAGAGAGAGAGAGAAACAGGTTGAGTGTGTGTGCGTGTGTGTGCCAACGATAGTGAGAGTGAGAGACAGAAAGAGTTTATGTGTCTATGTATGAGAGAGTGATTGTGTGTGTGACAGAGAGAAAGTTTGCGTGTGTGTGTGTATGAGAGAGTGAGAGAGACAGAGAGAGAGAAGCAAATGTTGATAAGATAGAAAGGGTCACAAAGCACTGTCCTCCTGGTACCACAATCAGGCTTGGGTGAAGGTTTTGCGAAAGTACGCACCGGCCTTGATTAAATGTACCATTATGGGACATTATATAATGTTACTTCTGTCCCATAATAATTGTTCCATTTGCCTACGCGTTTGGAACATTAAATAATAACAACTATTATTGTGGCAGAGAAATTCTTCGTCGTAGGGTTAATTTTAAACAGCTGATATCACAGATCATTTGAGGTGAGTTTGAATCTCACTGGGTGCTTCTCACTAAACTAAACTAATAAAAATTGGATAAATCACACTATTACATAATATTGTTATTATGTTTTAATATCAATTTAGTAATTCAGATTTTATATTTATGTTAACCAATATAAAGAAAAGGCTTGCGGAAACAGAAATGGGATTCTACAGAAGGATGCTGAGAATATCATGAACAGTGTATGTGTGCAATGAAGAAGTTTCATAGAAAATAGAAACAGAAAGGACACTTATACTTAACATAAGAAAGAGGAGTTGAAGTTTCTAGAACACATAATGAGGAAAGAGGACTTGGAAAATTTGACATATTGAAAGCAAGAGGGACAGAGGAAAATGGCGCAAACCTACCTGACGAATTTGTGTAAATAGGTGTCAGAACAGAATTAATGAGATATAAAAAAAAAAAAGAGACAAAATTTACTAAGAGCTACAAAGGATAAGAAATTGTGGAGAGCCATGATCGCCTACATCCTGAAAGGACACGACATATAGAAGAAGAACTAGCTTGTTTAAATGGATGGCAGAACAAAGATTAGGAAAGATAGTATAAATATAAGATAGTATAAATATAAAGAAATAACTAAGATCAACAAAGAGCAGGAAATTGTGGAGAGCCATGACCGCCAACGTCTTGAATGGACACAGCACATATGAGCAGAAGTTTTTTGCCTACTGACTCAAAATTAATAAACAAGACAAAAAAATATTCCCTTCGATCAAACCGACAAGCAAGTACATCCAGTCAATTCCTGCCGGACGCGACCTTCTGATCAACGTGACCTTTGATTTAAGCATGGCATAAAAAAGGCTAACCTTTCACTGGTTCGAGAGAGAAGTGGAACGATCCGTTACCATTCCAGACAGTTACCGGATATGGACACTGTCTTGTTGGATTCTCCAAAGACGATCCGATTACTTGAGCCTATCTTGTACATGTATACAAATTGCATAAAATGGCTGGCATCTGTGAGTAAGATTGATAAGACAGTAATAGCTATGGTCAGGTCAGAGGTTCGAATGCCACTAATATATATAATATTTCTCTGTTATCGAAGGCACCAGTTGTAAAATGATGATTTGTGTGCCAACCTCACAGATCACCGAGTGCGTTATTTCGCGGGACACTTTACAAATAAACCCTACACCCTGTCAAATTTGCCCCCTATATATATATATATATATATATATATATATATATATATAATATATATATATATATAAAGATATATATAATCCGGTGTTCTTATTGATATTTTTTTTTTTATTTTTACAAAATAATGCTCAATGTAAATTTACAAAGCATAAATATTATAAATTAACTGATTGAAAATATGTTTTTTTTTCGCTACACAGTAATAACCATGTTTCAAAAATGGAAGCTAAAAACTTTAAATGTAACTATATAATTAAATTAAAAGCATTAGTTCCATTTTATCTTCGAGCGAATATTGGAATAACTTAAGTAATGCGAAGACAGTAACTAATCATTTCTGTTATCTTGAAGGCAAAATTGACAATAAACTAAAGATGAAGACCATCTCTTGTACACGTTTTTTTTTTCAAACTGGATATTTCAATATTTCATGGTTTCCTTCCATTTTCGCTTTCGTTCTCTCTCTCTCTCTCTCTCTCTCTCTCTCTCTCTATCTATCTATCTATCTATCTATCTATTTATCTATCTATCTCTTATCATGTGGGAGGTATTTCTGCCATATCCTGTATATTCGTGTCTCATAATTTAGGGACAGATATTTTTTATCTCTCTTCTCATTCTCTAAATATCGCTTTTCTTTCTCCAAACTTTCACCACTTTCTCTTAATCCTCTCTCCCCCCCTCTCTCTCTCTCTCACTCTCTCTCACACACACTCTCTCTCTCTCTCACACACACACACACAGAGGCATATTCACACACACAAACACACACTCACTCAGTCACACACACTCTCTAGCTCTCTTTCTCTCCACATATCTTTGTCCACCTTTTCTCCCACTCTCTCTCTCTCTCTCTCTCTCTCTCTCTATCTCTCTCTCTTTCTTTCGTTTTACATTCTTTCTCTCTTTGACATCAAGCCCCAGACGTTTTCGCGGTAAAGATGTCTAATATTAATTTGGATGATGAACTCAAGCGGGGATGTTGAACAGATAATATCACTATGCAACGCCGGGGGAGGGGGGCGATACGGAGTAAAAATAAAACAGAAATGGTTACTCTCAGAGGCTAAACCGGGAAAGTACAGTGAGGTTATTATCTTGAAAATTAGGTTGACGAAGAGAAAACGACCAAAGAAATCGTGTAAGTCTTGGAAAACAAGAATACAGCAACGAAAGGAACGAATAAAAACAAAGATAACAAAAGAAAGAAAATGTATAAGCCGCGCGTGCGCAAACAGAAAGAAAAGAAACAAAACAGAGATTTTAAAACATTCAGGTTGTTCAT